TATGTATGTATGTATATATATATATATTTTTGCTGTACTGGCAAACCTGTCTCATGTGTACTAATCTTTTTTTTTTTTTTTTTTTAGCTATTTTCGATCTTAGCTGGATTTGGTTTGCCCATCATATTGAATTAACCTGGTGGTATATAGGGTACCCACTTTACAAGCTACAGCTACTGGCCACCTGGTGATTGTGTGATAACACATGAAACCAGCAGTTGTGGCCAGTCATTGCTTACCTGTATTTTTATATATATATATATATATATATATATATGACATTGTAAAATCAACCAACCTAACCCTTTATCTTAAATGTTCAAATATATCTATCAGCAAATTTTGACCATGGAAATCGGTACAATGATGTTCAAGAGGCAGACTATCAGATTTCAAACACCTTTCCAGTATAAGAATTCTTCTCTCAATGATACACAGATTCCAGCTTTGATCAGTGGGTAAATAACACATTTACTTGTATGTGGTACAAATTATTAACTGCAGTTTAAAAAAAGAAACAAAAAAAAGGATGCAGTAAGAAAGAAAAAAGAAACAAGAAAGGATAAAGATGCAGTAAGAAAAAAAGAAACAAAAAAGGATAAAGATGCAGTAAGAAACAAAAAAAACAAACAAATATTCAGAATGGAAAAGGAAATACAAAGCGACATATATATATATATATATATATATATATATATATATATATGTGTGTGTGTGTGCAATAAATAAAACATAGGAAAATATATTTAAAAGTTTGGAAACAGTTAAAGCAAGCAAGCAGTATAGAATAGATAATCATATTAAATAAAGTATGATTTCTCGGTGCACATTCTGTTTAATGAATGGAAAGACTATATCAGCAGTTACATAATAAAGCTGAGTATTGTGCCAATTTTTTATAACTGTGATGCCATTTTTTGTTCATTCTGACTGAATCAGGCCATATTATTTTACTACCTGATTCAGGGATTGAACTCATGAACACTAAATGACAGCAACACTTGATTAACACTACATGACCACTCAAAAGACATCAGTGGTGAATAGTTTTTGGAGCATTTAAATCCAATCTCAGGTTTCAACATTTGGTTATCAGGGCACATTTGTACTATTTATTTCGTTTCGATTTTTACGAGGTGGAATCATCAAAAACAGGAACAAAATAACACAATAATCAACACATATAAGATATCCCATATCAACCAAAATAACAGACACCTGGTGAATACTTGGCTGAAATGGTGTGTCAATAATAATGCCTATAAGATGAGAACAATAGCGTGAATAAGACAATTGCACATTTCAAAAATCAAAAACCAAAATTATCAACCAGGGCTTGTTATTCAAATTAATGATTATTAACACTTTTTTAACTTTTGATTTTATCTTTTGAAATTGTCTGATAGACGTTTTTAAATCAATCATTTTAGCAATAGTGTTCTTGAACATATTCTAAACTTGCTAGAATTTTAAATGTTCCTGGTAACTACTAATTAAAAAAATAAACAAATATAGCTCTGAAACTGCTAAATGTAGTTCTACAATACTTATTTTGTCTGTCCGTCTTTGCTTTTATCACAATGCTGCGGCCTTCACATTTTCACAGGTGTCTATTGCATTCAGTAACCTTAAAACTATTTGATCCCTGAGGCTACACCATTCTCCGTCTACTCTTGGTAAAGGTCATTTGGTTAAGGTAATGTAAAAATATGCACCGTTTCAGTAGAGGAACAGAGTGGCATCACAAGGAAGAATTGGCAGTTATAAGTTCTGAAACTTCCTAGAAAGAAGATTGGACGTGGCATGTAAGATATGAGAACTAAGCATTCTCTTGTGGTTCAAATAAAAGGTTTTGTTCAGAATTCCTGGAAGGTTACTAAATACAACAGATACCTGGGAAAAATTATAGGGGATCTAGTAGCCAAAGTGTGATAAAAACAACAAAGATGAGGAAAGTAGCATTAAAAAAAAAAATCATCATCATAAAAACACTTTGTTAAAGAAATTGAGACAAGATATTAGTTATTTTCTATTGATGATTTGTTATAATTAAATATGGAAGCAGATTGAAGAAAGGATTTGCCTGTATAAGGTTATCACAATATGAGCTGGGGAATGAAAAAAAAATCAGCAAAATGTTCATGTTCTCAAGAGTTGAATAGACCATTAGACTCATTAATTTTTGTTGTTTTTTGTCATTACTATACATTTCAACTGATAGCTTTTGATGGAATGAAGAGAGAGGATAGCAAGAGAGAGGATAGCAAGAGAGAGGATAGCAAGAGAGAGGATAGCAAGAGAGAGGATAGCAAGAGAGAGGATAGCAAGAGAGGATAGCAAGAGAGAGGATAGCAAGAGAGGATAGAGAGAGAGGATAGCAAGAGAGAGGATAGCAAAGAGAGAGAGAGAGAGGATAGCAAGAGAGAGGATAGCAAGAGAGAGGATAGCAAGAGAGAGGATAGCAAGAGAGAGGATAGCAAGAGAGAGGATAGCAAGAGAGAGGATAGCAAGAGAGAGGATAGCAAGAGAGAGGTGTTTTTCTTTCTTAGGAGAGCAAACCAGAAAAAAGCTTAATAGACCTATGAACACTTGGGACAATAATGACTCATCTCAAAATTACAGAGGGTACATTCAACACTTGGAATGATAAATTACAAAAGGTATATTCTTAATAATTTAAGAAAGCTCAACATACACAAGTTAACAGACCATAAATACAAATGGGGAAACATGTCAGATAGAGTTTTGAGATTAAGTATTTTCATTATTCAACACACACACTTATATATTATATTTGGGAGAAATGTATGTAAACTCTATATATATCAGACAAATGGTTGGTAATTGAAAGACAAAATGTAAAAATTATAAGAAACATTTATATATTCTATGTAACTAACATTTTGCTTATATTTTTGTCCCCCAACCCCGAACATATATACGATTCCATCAGTAAGAACATTATTGTAGTCTGATGAAATCTTTTTAAAAGACAAAACATGTTATATCAATTTTTTTTTTCATTTTGTCATATAATCACAGATTAAGGGCATAAAACCTTCAAAAGCAAATTTATCAAATCTGATGGCATACAAGACCAACCACCGTCTTTCCCATTATTTACATTTAATATTTGAATTATGGAGTTAGGTTAAATACAAGTACTGGTTTAGTTAAACAGCCTACCAGAGACCTCAACTTCTCATATTAGACCCAATAGGTTTTTTTTTTTTTTTTGGTGGTGGTGGTGGTGTTGCTTTCCATGTTGATGGGATGGTCTTATAGGTCATCAAATTTGGTGAGTCGTTTAGATTTATGTATTACCAGAATCACAAATATAATAAATATCAAACATCGGTAGGTTAGTGATATAAGAAGAGTACAATGGATATTAGTTTATGAATTTATAGTCAAAAAGAAATTTAGTGATTGATTAAAGAAAAATCAATCTTTGCCTGTCTGTAGAATACAGGCAAAGATGAAAATCACATATTCTTGGGTTCAACAGAAAAAAAATATAAAAACAAATGAAGAATTTGACACAGGAGACTTCCAATAGTGAATTCTTTTCTTACAAGAAGCTCATGAGCAGTTAATGATGACTTTGATCCTCACTGAGTGCTTCACAGTCATAACCTTGTGCCAAACTATATTTAATCCAATTAAACTTATAAATATTTCTTACAGTGCAAAAGTATATTGATTACCCCCACGCCAAGTCAGGTTTAATGTGGAGCCCATAAGGGTATGTGTGGATAAAGGAGAAAATTATTTAGCTCCCTAGTCATGCCTTTTATCATGACACAGGAATCAGGAACTCACCAAACTATTCTTTTTAGTGTAATGAGGAGGTAGAGCCCGGGGGAAACAGATCCCCTGAAACTAGATATACTTTTGCAGTGTGACAAGAAAATCCTCTTCTAAGCAAGTATAGTGTAAGAAAAAGTATAGTAGCTTCACAAACCAGTGAGAGCTCTAGAAACATAGCTTTGGACCAAACTTAAAAAATAGTAACAGGTATAGATGCAAATCACAAAAAAATATGATCAACATAATGGAATAATTATATAAGTTTGAACTATATTATATTCTGGGACATCAACGTGGCATTGTTCTCTCATGTGTTGAAAAATAAGTGATGAACAAGACCTTTTTTCTGCCTATAATAAGAAGCTAACAGATGTAACTGAAAACAGACATATACAAACATGAATCGGGATTGCCAGATTGAGCTAACAAGTAGTGAATTTAGTTACATTTGAAAGTCCAACATTACTGAATTTTGAATTGTTTTATTAGCAGCCCAAGTTAGCCCCAACTTATTTTAAAAGTAGCCCTGGAAACAATGTTTTGCTATCGTGTTCACTGGCCATCATCATATTGACAGGCACCTGAAGAAGGTCAGCAGACACAATAGGAGAAATGTTATGATAACAACAACAAAGGTGAGGACATTAGTCGAAATGTAAATAATAATTTGCGGGATATACAAAATTTTATTATGATCTTAGTATTATAAAATTTTAAAAAGTATATATTAAAACAAAAGTGTGGGGGGAGTAAGGAAAAGAAAAAAGAAAATATTACTTAAAATATTACTAAATTAAAAAAAAAAATGACATGTCCCTCACTATACTGATTTGATCGATTCATTTTTTATGGCTTATCAACCCTTTTCATTTAAAGCCAGAAAATATTTTTTTAATATTTTAAGAATTTTTTTTTTTTTTGAGATAATGATTTAGTGATAGAATTCCTACTAATTAACCTATAAATGGGAACAGAGGAGGTAGAAACATAACTTTCTCATGGGTATTTCCACATAAGTAAATATAAATGAACGTAATTCAAATTAGAACTTGGTCTCTGATTAACAATTCCAAGCCATTATCCATTACACCACCTGCATATCCAAGTTTACAGTACTTGGTATTCCCAAGTAGTCAACCATCTTGGTACTAATCAGGCTTGATGTTGCTTAACTTCAGTGATCATAGGCTTATGGCCACATCATGTTGAAACACCAGTTTGTATATGGTCACTGAAATTAAGCAACATCAAGCCTGCTCAGTACCTAGATGGGTGACCACTTGGGAATACCAGGTGCTGTAAACTTGGATATATGGGTGGTGCAATGGATAATGGCTTGGAATTGTTAATCAGTGGCCAAGTTCCAATTCGTTGGTTAGAAGCAATGATAAATTAATTTTAAACACAATTTTGTACCATTCAATCTTAGCTCTGCCTTGTTTTGTTTTTTTGGATTTGTAATTCATACACCACCCACACATCCAAGATTACAGCACTTGGTATTCCCAAGCAGTTACCCTACTAAGTACTGACCAGGTTCAGTGTTGCTTAACTTCAGTGATTATTCAGAAACTGGTATTTCAACCTGAAAGCCTCACACTATTGAGCTTTGAGAAGTGAGAAATGATAACTGGTTAGTCTTGGTTTTTTTTTGTTATAATTTTTCAGTTTACCACTTTATGGTAACAATTTTTTTTCTCTTTTCCTTGCTCTCCATCCCAGTTTTAATATATTTGTATGCATATTAAATCAATATATACTTTTTAAAATGTCCGTTTTTAATAAATATAAATAATACTAACTCACCATCTCAGAAATTCAAACAAATTAACCTAGTCTCACAAACCCGTATTAGTAGATTTAAAATTTATAGAAAGCATTGGTACTAAAAATTTAGTGACTATATATATGGATTTGTTTTTAACAGAAAAGGAGAGTTGCTGATACTAATATTACTACCAATGAAGAAATAATACATGTTTGATATGAACAGTGAAACAAGCCTAGAATGATTGCACAGAAATGCCTGATCATTTGAAAAATCTTTAACGCCAAGCCATAAAAGATCTAAATATAAATATCCAGAATAAACAACTTAAGCATTAATTGAAAACAGTAAATAACAAATTTAAACTTCTGTTAGTTACAGGTAATAAACATTTTATAGGCAGCTGGAAACTGATGCTGCAGAGATAGAAATAAAATTGCTCACATTTGATGTTTATATTAAATTTTATTAAATTCATTTTTTACATTATTCGGACTATTGTCCTCATCTTTGTCGTCATATTTATCACAACGTTTCGGCCGTTGGAATGTCGAACTGAACCCTTTATTTCGCTCACCGGGTAGACTGTTCTAGTTCCACATGCCATGTTTGATGGATGTCAGTTATCAGTTATCTCCTGTTAATTTCCCTCTGAAAGTTCTCCACTGCCTTAACCGGGTATTGAACTCACACTTTTGGGGTCCTGTCACTGGATCTAACCAATGCCTTTATCCACTGTACCATGTGTCCTTGTAATTAAACATGGCACGTGGAACTAGAACAGTCTACCCCGGTGAGCGAAATAAAGGGTTCAGTTCGACATTCCAACCACCTGAAGAAGGCCAGAGCGTACAACGGCTGAAACGTTGTGATGAATATGGCGACAAAGATGAGGACAATAGTCCGAATAATGTAAATAATGTACATAATACCTCATCTCAGAAATATAGACAAATTCATTTTTGATAGTTTTCTTAGTTTGCCAAATTGTTAAATTTTAAATATGCCAAAGAAGCAACTCATTTTTTTTTAACAATGAGATTTATTACCAAAGTTAAACTTAAGGCTTAAACCTAAATTAAATGTTAGGGTTTATATTTTTTTTAAAAGCTCAAAAATATTCTGTAGCAACCTAATTTTTTTTATTTGATATCAAGTGTGAAGACTAAATAGTATAAAAGTTGGTTTCTACATATTTTAAGTATATACAAATGTGAACTTCTACAAATTTTCTTAAGATAACCTTTCACTATCATGGTTTAAATTTTATAAAGTGTTTACTGCAGAGTAAGGAAATCTCAAACTGGTTTTGGCAGTAGAAAAAATATAAACACATTCCTCTATAATATAGAATAATGACTTTAATGAATGAAAAAAATAACCTTTTCTATCCAAGAGTTATCTAACTTGTCTAGATTTGGGAGAAACCGAATTTTTAAATAAAATTTCTAGCACATGAAAAGATGCATGAAAAAAGAATTGTGATAAATATTTATAGAAAATGGGCTTTGTTATGTTATTTAATATAAACAATCTTTATTCCTAGATTAATATACACTCTAAGTAAGATGCCACAAGACAAAATGTGGATGATGGGGGGGGTTAAAACAAATGGTAAAATTGGAGGGGGGCAAATCCTATGTTAAAATTGGGGCTGATTTCTTGTTAAAACAACTTAAATATTTAAAGGTCCCTGATTCTGTTTTATTAACATTCTCATGAAATGAGAATTATTTCAAGGTGTTTGTGTGTGTGTGTGTGTGTGGGGGGGGGTATTGCCTTACTGTAAACATGTTTTTGTTTCAATTTTGAACTTGTACTTATTTTCTGGAATGAGATCAACAGACCTTTTCTGCATCTAAGGCTTATATAAATTTTAGAACCCAATGTTTCAAAAAAAAAAAAAAAAGAAAAAAAAAAAAGCTTTATATTTTAAAAATTGATGGCCATAACAATTTAAGATAAGATAAATAATATAACTCAGTTCAATAACATGGTCATAAATTGAGGCCAAAAAGGCAAATTTAATCTTCTGTTTTGATCTCAATTCAATCAAAAAAGGGGTAGTGAGGCTTAACCCCAGCTATCCCTGTCAAGAATGGACATAAAATTTATAATTTTATTTTTACTTATTTATTTTTGGTATGTTTAATGATAAAACTGTACATTTTATAGGTTTGATACAGTTTACACATTATCAGTATATATTGAAATTTTAATTCTTTTGGTTGTAGAATCGTAAATTTAAGTAGTTTCAACACTAGTGTTAACATCAGGTTCATCAATTCCCACTTATTCATGACAGAAAAACGCCATTTTTAATAAATAGGTAGACAATTAAGAAAATATTAATATATGATTGATATTAATAATAATTATCACTGTATATGGTTATGGGTATATTATATTTCAAAAGACTGAATCAGGAGCAAGTATTGCTCATAGCAAAGGTTAGATTTTCTGTGTTAGTTTGTTAAGAAAAAAAAAAAAGAGAGGCTTGGTACATAAGATATATAGAAATAAATAGCAGCAGTTCCAATATCTAAAATATATGAATCATGAATACATTGAAATAAAAATTACTGATTGGTTTATAAATATTTAAAAATTTTCATTTCAATTGAATAAATAAAGCAAGGTTAGAAGTAAAATAAAAAAAGAAAAAGTTTTGAAAGGTACTGCTTAAGTTAATGGGCACACAAAAAAAAAGGAAAAAAAAAATTGGGGAGAGGAAATAATTTTTGTAGTTTAGCATTCATTACCGCTTCCTTTACCCCCAACATTGTTATTTTTTTTTTTTTATTATTTTAGAAGTGGGCCCTTTTTATGATGTAAGTACAGGGTCAAATCGATTCTTGATTTCTTAAAGAGTTACCTGTACTTTTTTTTTTATTTACAAATGTCAGCTTTGAAATTACTTACATCATTAATAACTGTATGATTATGAATTGATAAAAAGGACATCAGCAGTACACAGTTATCAATGATGTAAATACAGTCTCAAACTAGATATTTTTTAAGTAAAAAAAAAAAAAAGTACAGATAACTCTTTAAGAAATCATGGATTGATTTGACATTGTATTTATTTTATGAACTGGATCAACCTTTGAAAATGATAAAAAAAAAAAAAATTCATATTTTTTAACTGACAAATGTGGTGGCTTGAGGAAGGACTAATGATTGACTATCTACAAAAATTATCCCCCCCACCTAAACTTTCAAATAAAAAATTGTTACACCCCCACCCCACATTATTCCCTTTTTAAAAAAAAAAAAAAAAAAAAAAAATGAGCAGACCAGTCAATTTGCTGTTTTAAATAATATATAATAAAGTGACAGGTCAACATAATTTATAGAGTTGTATTAGAGAAGGTTTGTTCATGGCAGGATCAATGTCTCCTGTGTTTGGTTAGTGAAACCATACAAAACAGCATTTTTGTATTTTAATATGCAAGGCAAAAAACAAATAATCAAAATATTTAATAAAACCAATTCATCAGCTAAATAGAAAAATGTATCCATTTATTCTAATCTATATATATTGCCTGTTTCTATTTATGTTTTCTGAGATCAAAATAAATCATAATAGAAACAACATTCAAATCAAATTCTAAGTAGATTTAATAGAAAAAGATAATTTTTTGGTTAATATATGATTCGATAGAAATAATAAAAATGCAAATCATTTTCTAATTAACAACATAGAAGTTAAATATTTAACTTTAAACTTAAACAATCCTATTACAATTCTGCTTGTTCCTATGTTAGCATGTGTTATCTTAGATAAATAAAGAACCACTATTTTGATTGCAAGGAAAGACACAAGAAAAGTTATGTCAGAGATGATTGCTTGGTTTTAGGGAAGGAAAGAGAAAGCATCATAATGATAATGCTCACGTGTCTCAAATGTCTGCTTCAGTAAAATTAAAAACTTTGATTTTTTTTAAAAATTTTTTCATTTGTATCCTCTACTTTAAATAATTACTTCCATTCATACTTGATTGTTATTGCAATATTATGTTAATGTTGTTAAGCTAAAATATTTAATGATACAATAGGGGAATTTTCACAGGTATTTTATAATCCTTGAACTCACAAGGAACTTATTCAATTAATAAATTAAGGATTATGATTCATCAGAAAATTGAAATAATAAAACCATGAAAGTTTCATGGATGTTGCTAGTTATTATAAATTGGTACCTTAAATTATTTCTGGGACACTGAACAGACCAACAAAACTAAGCAAATTACTTATCCTTTAGCATTCAACCTACCCAAACCTGCCCCATAAATATTAACTCTCAATGTCCAACCTGTTGTAACCAGACCCATGTATACATTGCCATATATGACAACATCATCGCAAACAACACAGGATTGGTTGGGTTGTTTGCTTCATGGTATATCAACTTATTATATGTCATTTAATGTGGAAGTTTAATTTTCTTGGGAACTTTGAATTAATGAACATATATTATTTTGAAGTAATAATATATATTCAATTGAAATGAATATATGTTATTCTGCTTTCA